TGAGAGCAGGTCTGGGATGTATCCGGGAGCCCATATAGACCAATGAGAGTGTTAGATCACAGTGAGCTGGGGAAGTCTCAGGATATGTTCAATGGTGGCGACATATTCAATTCCATGGAGAGCTTCTGTCCAAAATCAGAGCCATGGGAGCAGAAAGCGGATATAGTGAATGCGGGGTCCGGGGAGAGAGGATATAGGAATGCGGGGTCCGGGGAGAGCGGATATAGTGAATGCGGGGTCCGAGGAGAGCGGATATAGGGAATAGGGAATAGGGAATGCGGGGTCCGGGGAGAGCGGATATAGTGAATCCGGGGTCCGGGGAGAGCGGATATAGTGAATGCGGGTCCGGGGAGGAGCGGATATGCGGGGTCCGGGGAGAGAGGATATAGTGAATGCGGGGTCCGGGGAGAGCGGATATAGTGAATGCGGGGTCCGGGGAGAGCGGATATAGTGAATGCGGGGTCCGGGGAGAGCGGATATAGTGAATGCGGGGTCCGGGGAGAGCGGATATAGTGAATGCGGGGTCCGGGGAGAGCGGATATAGTGAATGCGGGGTCCGGGGAGAGCGGATATAGTGAATGCGGGGTCCGGGGAGAGCGGATATAGTGAATGCGGGGTCCGGGGAGAGCGGATATAGTGAATGCGGGGTCCAGGGGAGAGGGATATAGTGAATGCGGGGTCCGGGGAGAGCGGATATAGTGAATGCGGGGTCCGGGGAGAGCGGATATAGTGAATGCGGGGTCCGGGGAGAGCGGATATAGTGAATGCGGGGTCCGGGGAGAGCGGATATAGTGAATGCGGGGTCCGGGGAGAGCGGATGTAGTGAATGCGGGGTCCGGGGAGAGCGGATGTAGTGAATGCGGGGTCCGGGGAGAGCGGATATAGTGAATGCGGGGTCCGGGAGAGCGGATATAGTGAATGCGGGGTCCGGGGAGAGGATATATAGTGAATGATGTCCGGGGAGAGGGATATAGTGAATGCGGGGTCTGGGGAGACCGGATATAGTGAATGTGGGGTCCGGGGGAGCGGATATAGTGAATGTGGGGTCCGGGGAGAGCGGATATAGTGAATGTGGGGTCCGGGGAGAGGGGATATGAGGGGATATAGTGAATGCGGGGTCCCGGGGGCGGATATAGTGAATGTGGGGTCCGGGGAGAGCGGATATAGTGAATGCGGGGTCCGGGGAGAGCGGATATAGTGAATGCGGGGTCCGGGGAGAGCGGATATAGTGAATGCGGGGGTCCGGGGAGAGCGGATATAGTGAATGCGGGGTCCGGGGAGAGCGGATATAGTGAATGCGGGGTCCGGGGAGAGGGGATATGAGGGGATATAGTGAATGCGGGGTCCCGGGGGGGCGGATATAGTGAATGTGGGGTCCGGGGAGAGCGGATATAGTGAATGCGGGGTCCGGGGAGAGGGGATATAGTGAATGCGGGGTCCGGGGAGAGCGGATATAGTGAATGCGGGGTCCGGGGAGAGCGGATATAGTGAATGCGGGGTCCGGGGAGAGGGATATGAGGGGATATAGTGAATGCGGGGTCCCGGGGGGCGGATATAGTGAATGCGGGGTCCGGGGAGAAGGGATATGAGGGGATATAGTGAATGCGGTGTCCCGGGGGGCGGATATAGTGAATGTGGGGTCCGGGGAGGTGGTCGGGGTATTCGTAGTTCCGGAACGTACGGTGAGTTGCGTCCAATTAACGTGAATGACGACGCGACTCTACGGGGCGGATTTCCTAAAATCGGGGAGTGCGATGTCTGGAGCAGCTGTGTTGGGAGCCAATCAGATACCAGCTTCAGCTTCTACAACATACAGAATATTTGAAATGTATTTTGTAATATAAACGCATCTCAACGCAGTATATATATATATTTATTTATTGGAATGTAGTGAATACGGCCAGAATTGTAGCATTTCATGACAATATATTTGGGAATATCTCCCATGTGGGCGGAGACGAGGATGGCGATGATTCCAGACGCCGGCTGCTCAGGTGATAAAACACTGAGAACAGGTTCAGAGGGCGGTATTAATTAGGGTAAATGTGACTTCCTGCCCCCCCCCCCCCTTCAGTCTCAGTCAGCATGTCAAACATCCCGTCCTCCCGGTGCGCTGTCCTTCCCTGCTCCATGCAGGAAGTGGCCCCCCATATAAGGACTTCCTTCCTGCTCGACGTAACGGCACGTCCCTCCCCCCCCCCCCCCTCGCTGAGCCTTTTATGTCCTCTGCGCTGAGAGGGGATCAAGCTGTGAATGTCCCTTTTTATTCCTGATGACAGTCTGTCCGCCCTCGCAGCAAGATGTCACCGGCACATCATCTGTCCAATTACCGCAGCCCCCCCCCCCCCCCGGACGCCTTTTTTGTGAACGGAAACCAGGATTTCTGCTCCTGACCTGCATATCGCTGTTTACATAACAAACCATTGGAGAGGGCGATGGGGCGGGGTGACGTGGGGCAATGTGGGGCGATGCAGGGGGTGACGTGGGGCAATGCAGGGTGACGTGGGGAGATGCGGGTGACGTAGTGCAATGCGGGGTGACGTGGGGCGATGCGGGGTGACGTGGGGCGATAAGGGGTAATGCGGGTGACGTAGTGCAATGCGTGGCGATGTGGGGCGATGCGGGGTGACGTGGGGCGCATTATGGCGGCACTGGGCTGTGTCTACGACATTATCCATCGCTGGGCGTCTTTCAGTGTCCTCTGACAGCAGACCCGGGAACACGGGGGGGGGGACAATATAGGCGCAGTGGTGGGCACCCGGCTCAAGGTGCGTCTGTACTGAGCGCGCTCTGCGGTGTGTGTGGGAGGGGTCATGTGATCGCAGGTCGTGGCAGCAATGTGCTGGGGACGCTTTCATCAACGCAGAGTTACTGCGGGTCACGTGACCTAAAATGCTGCGTGAAACATTGGGTGGCAGTTCATGGAGAAAACAGGCGGCAGTTATTGGTGCGGAACTCCCCCCATAGACAGCAACGTAACCCCAACACTAACACCAACCTCATCCCAATGTTCACCCTAAACTCAACACTAATCCTCCCTGAAACCCCAACACTGACCCTCCCTGTAACCCCAACACTACCCCTCCCTGTGACCCCAACACTGACCCTCCCTGTGTGACCCCAACACTGACCCTCCCTGTAACCTCAACACTGACCCCCCCACTGTAACCCCAACACTGACCCCCCCCTGTGACCCCAACACTAACCCTTTCTGTGACCCCAACACTAACCCTCCCTGTGACCCCAACAATGACCCTCCCTGTGACCCCAACACCACTGACCCCCCCTGTGACCCCAACACTAATCCTCCCTGTGACCCCAACACTGACCCTCCCTGTAACCTCAACACTGACCCCCCCTGTGACCCCAACACTAATCCTCCCTGTAACCCCAACACTGACCCTCCCTGTAACCCCAACACTGACCCTCCCTGTAACCCAACACTGACCCTCCCTGTAACCCCAACACTAATCCTCCCTGTAACCCCAACACTGACCCTCCCTGTAACCCCAACACTAACCCTCCCTGTAACCCCAACACTGACCCTCCCTGTAATCCCAACACTGACCCTCCCTGTAACCCCAACACTGACCCTCCCTGTAACCCCAACACTAATCCTCCCTGTAACCCCAACACTGAACCCTCCCTGTAACCCCAACACTAACCCTCCCTGTAACCCCAACACTGAACCCTCCCCTCTAACCCGACACTGACCCTCCCTGTAACCCCAACACTGACCCTCCCTGTAACCCCAACACTGAACCCTCCCTGTAACCCCAACACTGACCCTCCCTGTAACCCCAACACTAATCCTCCCTGTAACCCCAACACTGACCCTCCCTGTAACCCCAACACTAACCCTCCCTGTAACCCCAACACTGACCCTCCCTGTAATCCCAACACTGACCCTCCCTGTAACCCCAACACTGACCCTCCCTGTAACCCCAACACTAACCTCCCTGTAACCCCAACACTGACCCTCCCTGTAACCCCAACACTAACCCTCCAGTAACCCCAACACTAATCCTCCCTGTAACCCCAACACTAACCCCCTGTAACCCCAACACTAATCCTCCCTGTAACCCCAACACTAATCCTCCCTGTAACCCCAACACTAACCCTCCCTGTAACCCGACACTGACCCTCCCTGTAACCCCAACACTGACCCTCCCTGTATCCCCAATCCCAGCAATGTATTTACCACCCCCCTTGTTCCACAGGAGGCTTTACCCCCTTCATGACCAAGCCAGGCTATTTAGCACTGCGCTACTTTAAAGGACAATTGCGCGGTCATGCAACGTTGCACCCAAATTCAATTTATATCATTATTTTCACACAAACAGAGCTTTGTCTTGGTGGTATTTAACCACTTCTGTGATATACATGTAAAAAAGACCAATTTTGAAAAATTTTTTTTGCTATAAAAGAATAAAAAAGATCAAATTCATCAAATTCATCAAATTAGGCCGAAATGTATTCTGCTCCATGTTTTTGGTCCAAAAAAAAATCCCAATAAGTGTATTTTGAGTGCTTTGTGTGACAGTTATATTGTCTGTGAACTATGATGTGTATATATATATATACTGGGATTTATATTTATTTATTTATGTATGTATACTAGTAATGGCGGTGATCAGTGACTTATAGTGGGACTGTGATAGTGCGGCGGGCAATCTGACACTAAGGCTCCATTCACACTTGAGCGAATTTGACCCTTTTTTGTGTGCTTTTTTTTCACAGTTTTTGTGTGTTTTCATACTGAGTTTTATTAGGCATTTTGAGCTTTGAAGCTTTTTTTTTATTAGCAAATAGAAAAAAATATAATCTGTCCCACCATTTGTTGCTAGGTTTTTCAGCTTCTTTAGATTTTCCATCAGCTTTTATTTCTTTTTTTTTTATTATTATTACCGTATTTTTCGCTCCATAAGACGCACCTAGGTTTTAGAGGTGAAAAACAAGAAAAAAAAAAATATTCTGAACCAATGGACTGCAGACATAGTACATAGTACAGGGGATGACCAGAGACTGCAGACACAGTACAGGAGATGACCGGAGACTGCAGACAGTACAGGATGAGATGACCAGAGACTGCAGACAGTACAGGAGATGACCAGAGACTGCGGACACAGTACAGGAGATGACCAGAGACTGCAGACATAGTACAGGAGATGACCAGAGACTGCGGACACAGTACAGGAGATGACCAGAGACTGCGGACACAGTACAGGAGATGACCAGAGACTGCGGACACAGTACAGGAGATGACCAGAGACTGCGGACACGGTACAGGAGATGACCAGAGACTGCGGACACAGTACAGGAGATGACCAGAGACTGCAGACATAGTACAGGAGATGACCGGAGACTGCAGACAGTACAGGAGATGACCAGAGACTGCAGACAGTACAGGAGATGACCAGAGACTGCGGACATAGTACAGGAGACCAGAGACTGACAGTACAGGGGAGACTGCGGCACACACGGTACAGGAGATGACCAGAGACTGCGGACACAGTACAGGAGATGACCAGAGACTGCGGACACAGTACAGGAGATGACCAGAGACTGCGGACACAGTACAGGAGATGACCAGAGACTGCAGACACAGTACAGGAGATGACCAGAGACTGCGGACACAGTACAGGAGATGTCCAGAGACTGCAGACAGTACAGGAGATGACCAGAGACTGCAGACATAGTACAGGAGATGACCGGAGACTGCGGACACGGTACAGGAGATGACCGGAGACTGCGGACACGGTACAGGAGATGACCGAGACTGCGGACACGGTACAGGAGATGACCGGAGACTGCGGACACGGTACAGGAGATGACCGGAGACTGCGGACACGGTACAGGAGATGACCGGAGACTGCGGACACGGTACAGGAGATGACCGGAGACTGCGGACACGGTACAGGAGATGACCGGAGACTGCGGACACGGTACAGGAGATGACCGGAGACTGCGGACACAGTACAGGAGATGACCGGAGACTGCAGGACAGGTACAGGAGATGACCGGAGACTGCGGACACGGTACAGGAGATGACCAGAGACTGCGGACACGGTACAGGAGATGACCAGAGACTGCGGACACAGTACAGGAGATGACCAGAGACTGCGGACACGGTACAGGAGATGACCAGAGACTGCGGACACAGTACAGGAGATGACCAGAGACTGCGGACACAGTACAGGAGATGACCAGAGACTGCGGACATAGTACAGGAGATGACCAGAGACTGCGGACACAGTACAGGAGATGACCAGAGACTGCGACATAGTACAGGAGATGACCAGAGACTGCGGACACGGTACAGGAGAGGGAGGGGGAGCCGGTACCTGAATTTGACAGGTACCCGCTCCCACTTCCGCGGAGTTGCCTTCCCTCTTCTTCCCGGGCCGGCTTCTGTGACAGCCGGGTGCCCACTGCGCATGTGCGAGAAGCGTTGCGCTTTGTGAATGGCCCGGCGCCTTCTGGGACCTGTCATGTGTCCCAGAAGACACCGGATCATTCACAAAGCGCAGCGCATGCGCAGTGGGCACCCGGCTGTCACAGAAGCCGGCCCGGGAAGACTGTGCAGCGCTGGAGCGAGGAACAGGTAAGGCCCTGCAGGAGACAACAGCTGAGCGGCCGGCCCGGTATTCTGACATGGTGGCCGCAAAGATACCGGACCGGCCGCTTTATATTCGCTCCATAAGACGCACTGACATTTTCCCCCCCCCCTTTTTTTGGGGGGGAAAAAGTGCGTCTTATGGAGCGAAAAATACGGTAATTTATTCTTTTTTTGTTGTTGTTAGTCAGGGGTTAGATTTAAGGTTTGGTTAGGGGTAATATTATATTTATTGTCCTCTTATTATTTATTTATTGTTAATGTGATCATATTAATAATACTGCTAATAATAAATTAATGAATAAATAAATAAAAATAATCATAAATATTTAAACAATACAATAAATGAATAATACGTATTTACAAATAAATAGGTAAATAAATAATTAACTCCTAACCTTAACCCCCCAACTCTAAACAAAGATTAAATAAATTATTATTATTAGTAATACATAGACACCATCAACACAAAATAAATACATTATCAGCAATTATGATGATAATATTTATTATTATTATTTTATTATTTTATTTATTTTGGTTCAGGTTTGGTTCTTCATTATTTTTTTTTTTAATTATTATTAGACATTTTTGCACTGAAGTCAATGGATGCAATTTTGCATTGAAGTCAATGGGAGGCTTTTTTTTTTTTTTTTATTGAAGTCAATGGGAGGCATTTTTGCACTGTACTCAATAGGACATGATTTTGCATTGAAGTCAATGGGAAGCTTTTTGCATTGAACCACTGGGAGGCGTTTTTGCACTGAAGTCAGTGGGAGGTGATTTTGCTTTGAAGTCAATGGGAGGCTTTTTTTTTATTGAAGTCAATGGGAGGCATTTTTGCACTGTACTCAATAGGACATGATTTTGCATTGAAGTCAATGGGAGGCTTTTTGCATTGAATCACTGGGAGATGTTTTTTTGCACTGAAGTCAATGGGACACGATTTTGCATTGAAAACAATAAAAGGCAATTTTGCATTGAAGTCAGTGGGAGGCAGTGTGTGAACTTGCCAGGACGCAATTTCTAGTCCCATATACAAGGGGTCTTCAAAAAGTTTCTGCACATTTTCTTACTAAATAAAGTGCGGAAACTTTTTGAAAAACCCTCGTAAAATAATTTGAAATAATGAAAGCACCCCCTCACCCCGGGACACACCCTCACCCTCACCCCGGGACACACCCCTCACCCTCACCTCGGGACACACCCCATATAAAAATCGCAGTGCAGGGTGACACGTGACTGCGACATGCGTGTATTATCATGACCCTGACAGTGAGATCCGTCCTTCTGGGGGCAGAGTTCACACTTATCTGGAAAGGCCTGTAAAGCGCCCCCTATGGAGGACTTCCGGTACTGACATTTTTTTTTTAATTGACATGTTTGGCGTCTATTTACTCGACACTTTCCCGTCTTTTATATTTTACCAAAAAATCAGGTATAATAATGTGTTTGTTTGCACTAAAATTTTATAATTTTTTTCCTGAAAATTTGCATTTGAAAAGTAATTGCGCAAATATCCCGCGTCATAAAAAAAAAAGCGAAATTGCATCTGCCACCATTTTTTTCTCCGGGACTTGTTCTGCTTTCAATAATATATATATTTTACAGATTTTATGTGGCAGAAAGAAGACCTTGCTCTGGTAGGCGAGTGGTTAATGCCGCGATGCCGCGCCGCTGTGGATGGGGCCCTACAGGCCGCTGCGCCCACTTCACCGCTAAAAGAAATAAAGCAATTCAAACACAAAGAGATGAATGTGACTGCCGGCGCGGCGTTCACCGCTAATCATCTGTTCAAGGAACGCCGTCAGTCAAGGCCGCGCCGGCCACAAAAAAAAACAACGTTTGAGAGATAATTTGCAATTGTAATGAAATCACAGCTCAGCGGGAAGAGATTGGCGGTCGGACGCTCGCCGCTCCTCGTACAATGGGAACAGATGTGAGGCGCGGATCCTCGCCTCTCTCTGTGAAGGAACGAGAGCGCCGGGTAATCCCGACACACACCTTCCTATCGCTCATCTACAGGCCGCGCTTCATTGGCATCCCACTCATGAACAGAGAATCACACAATCCCCCTCACATACCATGTGGAGCCTGCTGGGGCTCAGAGCCAGGCCTGGGAAAACGCATGACTCACGCGGAAAATTAGTCAGTGAGTGGGGGCGGCGAATGGCGGTGACTAAATAAGGCCAAAACCTGCCGGAGTGGAAGGTTCGGGGCTGAGAGAGAAGGAATACATCGAGGAAAAGATTGCAGGGGAGGGGGGGCTGGGGAAACAACATTCCCTACAAGATGGCTCCATTCTGGGGTATAAGGAGTGCAGGAGAATGTTCTGCGCTTCATGTGGAGGGGATTTAGTTATGTGATTGTACAATGGAGTGCGGTGGATGGAAAGTCCGGGGCAGAAATCCACCTCTCGGCCCACAAAATGTTCCCTTCATATCACAAGGAGGAGAATTTACCCAACGCAGCTTGTGTTCTGCTGATTCCCTGCCAGGCCGTCTCCTCTCCTCGTCTCTCTTCTCCTCTCCCCCATTACTTTCCTCCCCACAACTCTCATCTCTGACATTACATTACTCCAGGCTGTCATTCTCCTCTCCTTTCTTCTCCTCTCCTCTTCTTTCCTCTCCTTTCCTCTCTCTCCCTTCTTTTCTTCTTCTCCTCTCCTCCTCTTTTTTTTTCTATTCTTTTCCTCTCCTCTTTGATTTTCCTCTTTTCTGCTGATTCCCCTGACTCCTCTCTTCTTCTCTCCTCTCCTTCCCTTCTTTTTCCTCTCTCTTTCCCTCTCCTCTCATCTCCTTTCCTTTCTTCTCCTCTCCTCTCCACTCCTCTCCTATTCTCTCTTCTCCTTACCTCCATTACTTTCCTCCCCACAACTCTCATCTCTGACATTACATTACTCCAGGCTGTCATTCTCCTCTTTCCTCTCCTTTCTTCTCCTCTCCTCTCTTTTCTCCTCTTCTTCTCCTCTCCTCTTCCATCCTCTCCTCCCCTCCCCTCCTTTCATTTCTTCTCCTCTCCTCTTCTTTCCTTTCCTCTCCTCTCCTCTCTTTTCACCTCTCTACTCTCCTCTTCTTCTCCTCTCCTCTCCTCCCCTCCTTTAATTTCTTCTTCTCTCCCCTTCTTTCCTCTCCTTTCTCCTCTCCTCTCTCTTTCCCTCTCCTCTTCTTCCTTCTTCTCCTCTCCTCTTCCATCCTCTCCCTCCCTCCTTTAATTTCTTCTTCTCTCCACTTCTTTCCTCTCCTCCCCTTATCTTTCCTCTCCTTTCTCCTCTCCTCTCTCTTTCCCTCTCCTCTTCTTCCTTCTTTTCCTCTCCTCTTCTCCTTTCTTCTCCTCTCCTCTTCCATCCTCCCCTCTCCTGTTCAATTTCCTCTCTTCTCTTCGCCTTTTCTTTTTTTTCTATTCTTTTCCTCTCCTCTTTGATTTTCCTCTTTTCTTCCCCATCCTCTCCTTTTTTCCTCTCATTTCCTTTCTTCTCCTCTCCTCTCTTCTCCCCTCTCCTCCCCTCTTCTCTTCCATCCTCCCCTCTTCTCCTTTCCTTTCCTTTGTTTCTCCTCTCCTCTTTTCTTCTTTTCTCCTTTCCTTTGTTTCTCCTCTCCTCTCTTCTTCTTTTCTCCTTTCTTCTTCTCCTCTCCTTCCCTTTCCTCTCCTTTCTTCTCCTCTTCTATCTCTCTCCTCTCCCCTCTTCCCTCCTCCCACCTTCA